AAAAAAAAAAAAAAAAAAAAAAAAAAAGTAAATACTGAAAGCTATAAAAAGATCCTAGGACTGAAGGGAGAGTACATCCACTGGGCTGTGATGTCTTGTGACACCTCCAAGACCTACCTCAGTCTTTAAGGATGTGGACAACGTGTCGTCATGGTATTTCCTGTAATTGATACCCTTTCTTAAAACAATCTCTCTCTCAAAAAATAGTCTGAAGTCACACCTTTCCATTCATTTCTCTAATTTTAGACACACCCATTTCCTCTTCCAGTTTCCCAGTTAGAAAAAAAACCTTGGTCATCGTATACAAGTACACATTGTGTGACTTGTGTATTTGAAATAATATCGGAATTTAGAATTGTTAAGGTGATTTTGTGTGTGTGTGTTTGTTGGAAATCAAAGCCTGGGGGTGGGAATGGGGCAGGATTTATTCACTTTGAACCTGAAAGACATATTTGGTTAAACAGAAATGGAAAAGTCACAGTTAACGGTTGGGAACGTAGACGTTCCTCGTCCTTCCTCAGCGGATGACAGATCTGTTCTGCAGGTCTGCTGTTGATTATCTGCAACAGCCAACCCTCCAATAACAGAGACAGAAAGGCAGACTAGGTCTGCCCTCACAGAGGCTACTGCAGAGTTAAGAAATACACCTTCAATTTGCGAATAACAAAGAAAAAGTACGGAATCAAGGGCACAGTCAAACAGTGCAGTAAACACTATCAGAATTCAGAGGAAACAGACCTGGAGAGACTGAGTAGTTAGGAAAGATTTCAAGCATAGGGGATTATTGAAATGTGTCTCAAGGAAGTAGAATTTGAGAGGGCGAGGACAACTGGACAAAAGGAAAGAGACATTTTCAGCTGCCTGAGCACTGGTATGTTGCAGGCGGGTGGTGGTGGTGGTAGTGGCAGGGGTGGGGGGTGAGTGTGGGCTGGTAGCCAGGGCACCATGTGCTCCAGTGACCTTAGGAAACACCACTGGTCAATAGGACTGGGGTCAGAAGACACAGAGGGCTTGAATGTGAGGCAGAAGAATGTCGAAACAATGCCATGAGAAATGAACTTGGAGACAGATTGAACGAGGTTGCTCTTTGCTAATATTCATATTCTAAAGTCTTTCTGGGGACACTGGCATTTGGAATTCCAAACAAATGTAAACTTTGGGAGAAAAAGGACACTCTGAAACTAAATACACATAATTTATCAAAAAATAATTGCTGATTTTCTGGCTAAGCCTATATTGTTACCTACAGATGGAAACTCTGCAGTGTTCTTAGTCAGGTAAGGATGGTGAGGGTCCTGGTGTCCGAGGGCCAGTGAGGTCACCTTGTGCTAGCCTGCTGTGCTCTCTGACCACTGTAGATGGTTAGTTTTATATTGCTTTTCTTGCTCCAAAGGCCTCTCATGCTCACGTGTGGGATCATGATTCAGGTTGGAAAGTTCCAACTTAAATTTCAGCTGGGCTCAGTCAGAAAGATGGTCTGCGGGAAGTGTTACTAGCTGCTGCTGTGGCATTGTTGTCAATTCTGGACTCGGGGAAGTCAAGGCAGTGAACTTGGTCCCCTGAGACTTTATGAGAAACATTACTGGGGCGAGCCTCTCTGCCAGGTTGCCCGTATCACCAGGGCGATCGGGATGTGGTCCTGCTACCCCCAGACCCTTGCTTAATGCCAGATACTGCACCATCCAAGGGTGGAATAAAACACACCCCATCAACAACCATAAAACCTCTCAGCGTCTGTCAGCTCATCACCTGTGGTGAGCAGTCTTGGGGATAGTGAGCTGTGTGTGCTGGGTGGCTTTGGGAGACATCTGTCCTGAAGCTGCCCGGGTAGGGGCTGCCAGGTGAGCTGTGCTGCCTTGGTGGTGTGGACAGGGAGGTGAGCAGGGTGGGTGCTAGGAGGGGAGGGCCAAATACAGTGAGGGATGGAGCAAAGACCCTCTGGGACAAGTTTCCTCTTGTCCGTCAGCTGATCTGAGTTGGATGGTCTCAGACTGACCCAGAAGGCTTCGCGGCTCTGCTGGGGGAAGGAGCCCCATCCCCTCCACCCCCGCAGGCTTTCACTGTGATATGCTCCTTGTGAAGCTTGTGCTCCCTTTTGGCCTGCAGAGCTGATTCTGAGATCACAGGTCCTGCCTCCTCCTCTGTGTGTCCCAGTCATCCCAGCCTGGGCAAGCAGTGGGTGCTTTACACTTACATGTGAGCATGAGCCAAACCCAGGCCAGCCGGAATTCCTCACTGGAAGGTAGCGGCGGGTGTGTGCGAGGAACGACAATGTCCCTGTGGAAAACTTGGCGCAGTGTCACTTGATGGTGTCAGGAAAGCACAGCCGGCCCAGCACCACAGATGCCAGGATAAGCTACTGTTCCGGCGGCTTTCTCTTTAGAGCCTTGGCGAGCATGAGTTTGGTATTTATGGCTGGCCAGATTTTCTGCCAGGCACAGTGTGAGGCCACACAGGTGGGTGGGACACAAGTCAGTTCCCAAGGGATCACAGTCTAGCGAGACAGGTGGCAGAAGGATGGCCGCCCCGTGGAGGGGCGCTCCTGGGGGAGGGAGGCGGAGCTGCGGGAGCCCCAGGAAGGGACCGGCCTCACTCCAGGGTACAGGGAGACCCCGTGGAGCACAAGGTGAGGGAGTGCAGGCAAGTATTCAGGGGAAAGGACCATGGCCAGGGCAGGCCGGCCAGTCCAGGCTTTCGAGGGAGGCCCGTGCTGGGGCACAGGAGTGAGGGGACATGACCCTGCAGGGTGCAGGAGAGGAGCTTATCCAAGCCTAAGTATTCCCCACTCATTCCTCAGTGGAGGAATCTGGACCTGACTTCGTAGACTATGTTGTACGATGGATGCTATGTGACCAGTAGCAGAGCAGCCGGCAGACCCAGGGTTCCAGCTTTCACCCAGAGGCAGAGCCCTGGCTCTGGGTGGGGACCTCTGAGAACACAGACACCCCCCCCCAACTGCCTCCTCCGCAGAAGTGCCACATGCTACCCAAGTGCTCTGCTCATGTAAAGTGATAGAAATTCATGGGAGAAAACAAAATTGTGCATGTTATAGCATCCCAACAGCTGGTGAGGAAACCCTATGTACACAGCAACGAAATCATAAAGTGATACAATTGAAGCCTCTTAGAGCAAATGACAGCCTCTCGTCCCTCCCATCTCAGAAACAGGTCGACTGGGCGCAGGCAGAGGGGGCAAGCATATTTATATAATTTGGTTGTACACATTACATATAATAAAGCTATATGTTCCTACAAATGGAAACTAATTTTCATAATTGCAAATAAGATATTCCAATATATTAAGAACACATATTGAGTAACGACCAAAACCATATGGAATTGGCTTGTAACAGTTCTAAAAAATGCATAAGTTGGTTGATGCTTTGAAGGCTTTCATTAGCATTAGAATTATTTATGTGGAAAAATAAAATTCAAGTATTAATATGGATTTATAATAATTTTAATAATGATTAAGAAGCACTAAAAAGGTCAAAATACCAAGCCCCTCATAAAGAAACTAGGAAAAACATAAAGGGGAGAAATAAACATTTATAATGAAAGAGAAAACAATGGTTTTAGTGAACTCAAAAAGGTAAGAAGTAAATATAACAAAATCAGGTGGAAACAAAAGATCAGATTTTCTTAATTCACTGATGTATTAGAGAAACACCATTCTTGTGCTTGCAAGACTGCCTAATTGAATGTATTTGCATATATCTTGCGTGCACTGTAGAATAAAATTAAGCATTTAAAAAATAACAAAAAAGAAATCATGACGTGACAAGCAATCACAAACCTGTGTGGTTCCATCTAGCCTCTCCTCACCAGAGGCTACAGCACTCTAAGGACCACCTGGGGAAAGGCTGTGGTCATCACATCCTTGGGAGCTGGCAATGACCATGGTTGCGATGACCATGTGTGTTGCTGTGTATGTGAGATTTCCTCACCAGCTGGTTGGATGCTCTACCGCACACCATTTTGTTTCCGCACATGAATCTCTTGTCACTTTACACAAGCAGCACACTTGGGTAGCATGTGGCGCTTCTGTGGAGGAGGGAGCTCGGTGTGTGTGTGGGGAGTCTGTGTTCTTAGAGCTCCCCAACCAGAACCAGGGCTCTGCCTCTGGGTGAAAGCTGGAACCCTGTGTCTGCCCGCTGGCTCACCTAGAGGCTATTTGATAACATTTCATTTTGTGTTTCCTCGTGCTACAATCCCTTAGGATACAGCAGTCGATGCAACTCTCTAAATGTAGAGAGAAAAAACTGGAAGCTATTTCACTGTGCAATTTTCTGTTTTCTTACTGCTTTCAGTTGCACAGAATCAAATGTGACAAAGCCACCGGTGTGATTGAGATGGTCATGGATCGGTTTTCCATTGAAAATGAAGGTACTTACACTGTGCAGATCCATGACGGAAAAGCCAAAAGCCAATCCTCTCTGGTCCTTATTGGAGATGGTATGTAATACCGAACACTTTCATATATCCAGAAAAGATAATTCAAAAGAGATTTTTGTGACTGGAGAGAAGCAAACATATTTCATATACATTTTTTTTCTCCCTCAAATATTGAATTTAGCATTCAGGGCGGTGCTAGATGAGGCTGAGTTCCAAAGAAAAGAATTTCTCAGGAAACAAGGTAAGTCAGTGATTCGTGCCCCTCCACCGGTGTATGGCAAAGATGATTTGCATGTGTCAGTTAGATCCTACACAGTGCCAAGTTACTCTAAAGACCTTCTTAGATGATCAATAGATGAGGTCATTTCTTAGCTGTGCAGATGTGGGGGCTTTTCTGTCCTCTGCCCTTGATTTGTGGTTTGCCTGTGTTTTTTTCTGACTTCTACCTTTACAAGCCCTGAACTCTGTTGGCTCACATTTCCTGGTATTATCCTTGAGGAAACCATCCATCTCACCAGGTTCTGGGGCTGATTTGCCAACTAGCCAACGGGTCTCTTCTGTTTGCTGCTGGGAGATGGTTCTTCCCAAACTGTTGTTTCTTTGAGATACTCCTTTCTTAAAACAATGTAATAACTCCAAATGATACTAGGTAAGCTCAACTCTCCTTAATCTCCTTCACCCGCAAGAACAGATTTTTCCTATTATGCCCCATTTCAATGTTCTGGATAGGCCACACTGACTTATTTTATTTTATTTTATTTTAGATTTAGCGAACACATTTGCAGTTTTGTTACATGGGTGTATGCGTGACGGTGAGGTTTGGGCTTCTCTTGAGCCTGTCACCCAGGTGATGCACATGGTGCCCAGTGGGCGGATTTTCAGCCCTTACCCCCTCCCTCCTTCTCCCTTTAGAAGTCACCAGTGACTGCTGTTCACATCCTTACGCCCGTGTTGTTCAATGTCTGGCTTTAACGCCTTCTTTTCATGGTGCCCATATCCATCTTTGTAGTCTTGTCATTCCTGTGGTCTTTTCAAACTGAGGCACCATTCCAAGTAGAAAGTGGATCTTCACACCTCCCTATGGCTTTTCCTGTCTGCAGGGGGTCCTGCTGGTTCTTTTGTGGTTTTTACCTGAGCCACTTGTGAGGGAGTTTAATGTTACCCTGAACTCTCTGGAAGATGGACTGGCTAGTCTATCTTTGTAGTGTCCCTAACACTTTTTTTTGAGTCAGGGTCTCACTCTGTCACCCAGGCTGGAGGGCAGTGTCACGATCACACTCACCAGTGTGACTTGACTTCCTGGGCTTAGGCAATCCTCCAGCCTTAACCTCCCAAGTAGTTCGAACTACAGTCATGTGCTGTTATGCCTGGCTAAATTTTTTATTTTTTGTAGAGATGAGGTCTCACTATGTTACCCAGGCTGGCCTCAAACTCCTGGCCTCAAGAAATCCTCCCACCTTGGCCTCCGCAAGTGTTGAGATTACAGGCATGAGTCACTATGTATGCCTCCCTCTAACATTTCTTACAGGGTTGAGCACCTTGGCCAGGTGAAGACTTACCAGCTGCATGGTAAAGGGGTGAAGGATGACTGCCAGACAGAGTCCAGTAGCCTTAACACAAACAAAACAAAATAAAAAAGAGTGGGTGGGTGGGTTGGGGCATTATCAGACGTTATCTACTATAGAGAGGGCAGGGGACATCATTCCTATCTCCAGAAACTTGTTTATTTCACTCACTATTGTGTGAATTTTTTAACTGCTTAACTTTTACAGTTTTTAACTGCTTAACTACAAACAATATATTTTAAATATATTGCTTTTAAAAATACATCTTAATCAAAGGAAAATGGATACATTTTAGGCTCTCAAACATAACCCAAGGATTTATTCAAATAATAATTTAATATATGGAATTTCTGTGCCTTTTGAGAAAATTAGAATATGGGTTATGAAATATAAAACCAAGACATTAGCTTTTATTATCTTTATTTCTAATAGTAAAAAATATTTGATTTTACTCATTTCCACATTATGAACTTTCTTAAAAACCAACTTTAAGAATGTATTTATATGAAAGAGATCAACATCTACTTTCCAAGTCTGCTCAATATTTTTGTGTTGCATGAGATAATGGTGTTATCATGTATGGCTGACTTCTACATTTGTTTTACATAAAAATGGTTGATATTTTGCAAAAACATACCTGAATGAATCCATCTTTGATTTTGAATGCTATAGTAATAAAATGTGTTTACAAAATTGCTAGGCAAGCTGCTTTTTCCTCTTCTCTTCCTCTTTTATTCGCTTATGTAAAGGTTTTATATACTACACTGTTGAACCTTCAGTTAGACATATTCCTCGAGAAAGAAAATACAATGTTTTCAATATTCTTTCTAAAGATCAAAAGATATTACGTCTGTAAGCAGGAGAGACCAGACAGAATAGTCCTACTAGGAAACGCAGGTTCCCACAGTGAATCAGTGTTAATTGATGCACGCTGGCTTCAGAGTCCTGAAAATTACCTGAGTTTCATACTGTACAGTGATTTCAAATCTACCAAAAATGTATTATGAAAAAATATATAACATATGCATATACATTATATATACACACACCATACATGTATGTATGTATTGTTGATAAATTTATTTATTTTACCTTTTTTTCCCCTTTTTAAAAACTTGTTTCTGCTTTTTTCCTCCTTAGGCCCTCATTTTGCTGAGTATCTGCACTGGGATATTACAGAGGAGTGTGAAGTCCGACTTATTTGTAAGGTGAGAACCTGGTTCTAACAACTCTTTTTAGTGATAGCTAGGGCTAAAGCTTTGATATTTAACATGCTCAAGGTTGACATAAATTTATTATAGGAAAATACTTAGATTTATTTTTAATTTAATTTAATTTAATTTTATTATGTCGGGGTCTCATTCTGTTGCCCAGGCTGGAGTGAAGTGGAATAATCATAGCTACCGCAGCCTTGACTTCCTGGTTTCAGGTGATCCTTCTTCCTCAGCCTCCTGAGTAGCTGGGACTACAAGCACATGCCACCATACCCTACTAATTTTTATTTTTTTATTCTTTTATTTATTTATTTATTTTTAGAGATGAGGTCTTGCTATGTTGACTAGGCTGATCTCAAACTCTTGAGCTCAAGTAATTTTCCTGCCTCGGCCTCCCAAAATGCCTGGATTACAGATGTGAAACACGGAGCCTAGCCTAGATTTATTTTTAGTAGTGCATTTCTTCCATTAAGATATTTTAAAAGAAAGACTCAGAGGCAAAAACATTAATAAGAGAAGAAAGGTTTACTTGCAAATAAGTTGCAAGAAAGAGGAACTTTAGCCAGTCTTGTTCAACAGATGAAAAGCATGACCGATATTTACAGGATGAAACCCACTAGATTACTAAGGACAGGCTGTCAACCTAGTCTATTTTTGTTGGAAAAACAGCAATTTTCTCAAATGATTACTGTATGCAGGAAGGTATTTTTTTTTTTTATTTTAGACGTCAGCACTGCAAAAATCAGATCACAAGGCAGTCAGCATGACAGCCCAGAAAGAGACAGAGTGATGCTGCTATCATCGGTTTCTTCTTTTTTCTTTTTCTTTTTTCCTGACAGTGGCACACTAGGGGTGTGCAAAAAAAGGGTGGTGGCAAAAAAAAAAAAAAAAAAAAGAAAAGAAAAAAAAAGAAAAAAAGAAAAGATGAGTACTGCTTCCCCAGGGGCTCAATATCATCTTAGTGCAATATAACCCTCTATAAATATTTAAAAGTATTTTAGGCTCCCTGACTAAAGTGATTCATAAATCTTTAAACACAGATATTGGAGAAACTAAATAAATATTACTTGAGATTGAGGGTTTCTTTTTTTTTGCAGTTTAATGCATTTAATTTACATACTTGTGTCCCTGTCAAGCCTGTAGTTCTGTAAACCATTTTTCTACATAATTTTTCATTTAATAATACTGCAGCAGATGGTTTTTAAAAAATTTATTTACATGGCAAAATAGTTGGAGAAAAATTTATGCAAGGATACATTCTATTAATAATTTTTACAGACAACCATTATTTATTTGTTTATTTTTTTCTTGTTTTAAAAATTTCAATAGCTTTAAGGGGGTACAAATGGTGTTTGGTTACATGGATGCATGCAGCTGGTTACATGTCCAGTGGTGAAGAATTCAGGGCTGTAAATGCACCCACCATTTCCACCTGTGCACATTGTACCAGATAGGTGATTTTTCTGTCTCTATACCCCTTCCAACCTCCTCTTGAGTCTCCAATGTCCATTATATCATTCTATATGCTTCTGCAGATTCTTAGTTTAGCTCCCACTTAAAAGTGAGAATATAGGATATTTGGTTTTCTGTTCCTGTATTACTTCACTTAGGATAGTGGTCTCCAATTCCATACAAGTTCCTGCAAAAGACATTACTTCATTCCTTTTAATGGCTAAATAGTATTCCATGGGGTGTGTGTGTGTGTGTGTGTGTGTGTGTGTGTGTGTGTGTGTGTGACATTTTCTTTTTTGTTTGTTTGTTTTTTTTGAGTTGGAGTCTTACTCTATCGCCCAGACTGGAGTGCAGTGGCCGCTCCCAGCCACCGCAGCCTCGACCTGCTGGGCTCCGGCGATCCTTCTGCCTCAGCCTTCCAAGTAGCCGGAATTACAGGCGTGCACTACCACGCCTGGCTAATTTTTTGATTTTATTGTAGAGATGAGGTCTTGCCTGCCCAGGCAGGTCTCGAACCCGCAGGCTCAGGTAATCCACTCACCTCAGCCTCCCAAAGGCGTGGGATTACAGGTTGAGCCACCGAGCCCAGCTGTGTCACATTTTCATTACCCACTAATCAGTTGATGGACATTTAAGAAAAGTTTAAAAGAAGAGAAACATCATAAACAGAAGAAAATCTGCTAAAAATGTATTCTACAACACAAATGGAGAAAGAGAGTGCTTACTTTTAGGAAGTGTGAGCCAGGGGTGTGTCCCATGACATTGAAGGAAGGATCTTGTTATTTATGTTTTTAAGATATTTCTGAACACTAGAGGTGCCCATAGTTTAAAGAGTTTACAGTAGAGAGAAGCTGAAGGACTTCAGAGAAGAGACAAATGAGTTATTTTGAGGGACAAGAACCTACAGGACAAATACATGATTTAAAGATATTTGTTTTAGTAATTAAGTTGAAGGTCATTGGAAAGGCTTTTTTATTTAGCATACCAGCAATTTTAAATATCTTCGAAGAAGAGAATAAGGGTAAACTATTGAATTAAGAGAGTAAGAAGTTAAATTTTCACTGAAGATGGACACTAAAAGAGGTTTCGAAAAATGTCAGTATAAAGGAAATCTCATCTTCTAGGGCTGTGTAGCCTTGACCTCAGTCTATCCTAAGATTCATGATCAATGAGTGGTTCTGACTGTGGGAGAAAGATCCCACTTTCCAGGTCAATGGGGAAGCCACCATCCATCGACTTCACAGGCAGTGATTAGATGACTGCTCTGTGCCAGACAGACAGCATGCACCCAGTGACAGGTTTTCATAAAACAGGCAAAACCCCTGCTCTACGGAGATCACATTCGAGTGTCAGGAATTGCACCAGTTCACACAGGGGATGTGAGAATTATAAACTATGTTGGACTACTATGCTCACAGACCTCATCACACTATCTAATCATCTGCAATTTCTTGTCACTGATATCATTTCAGTTGAATCCATGTGGGAAATGAATGCAAAATTGCCAGCTCGTATAACCTGATTTGATCCATTCATTTCATTATATAGAATCGGTATAAGGTATGTGGGTGAGAGCACTACTCATCACTGGAATTCTGCAAAGTTTAGTTTCTAGAGAAGTGAATGCCAGTGATGAAATTGTGAGGAATTTTAGTAAAGAGAAAGTCCTTAACCCTAGTGGGATCTTTGTGTGTGTCAATGCATCTGAAGTGTCATACTGCCAAAAGAGTAGCCACTAAACAGCTTTATAGAGCTCTAAGAATATTCTGTGTTATTTATAAATCCCCACATACATTGCTTATGACTTTCCTTTATTGGTGACATTTCATATAAACCAAAATATCTTTATGCTGTTTAATTTCATGGGCTAGAGTGATGAGAATCATTTGTCCTTCTGTGGGCAACTGTGAAGGCTTCATTATTTTAGAAGCTAGAATTTAGAAATGTATTTGCCATGATTAGAAGTAAGAACTTTTCCATGAGCCTCTATCTGAGACTGTTTATAGTAAAAATTGATTTTTTTTAGGTCTCTGATTTAAAATTCTAATAGACTTATTTTTCTTATGAGCCAGAGTGATTCACATACTAAACTGAAGATTTCTATCTCGTAGGTTGCAAACACCAAGAAAGAAACAGTTTTCAAATGGCTCAAAGATGATATTCTCTATGAAACTGAAACAATCCCTGACCTGGAGAAGGGAATTTGTGAGCTACTCATACCCAAGGTATCAGGTGTTGAGTAAAACAAGATGGAGAAAAAAAGTAGCACTTTCAAGTAACTTGCAAATTCTGCATTCTTCTAATTTACACCCTGAATGTTGATGTTTGCTAAGAAAATGTGTATTAGCTTTTATTACATTTTAAATTATGGTATTGATTTTACATAAGTTTGGGGTGTGTTTTGTTTGTAGTTATCCAAGAAGGAACAGGGTGAATACAAGTCGACCTTGAAAGATGAGAGAGGTCAAGATGCATCTGTCCTTGAGATAGCTGGCAAAGGTAACATCAAGCCTTTTCTGTTCTACTAAAATGAAGTCCATCTCACCAACAGGGTGAGGTGTACTATGAAGGTGCATTCATCTGTGTCCTTTGCTATAGAGCGTATTGTTTCTTTAGCAGTAACACTGTACAAGAAAATATATTTGTTCTTTAGTTGTGTTCAAAGCTATTTCAATGTTTTAGAAAAATATGCGATATTACTCTGGGTTTGTATACAATGTTATTTCAGTCCATCATCAGAAGCCAAGTTTTATCCCATTGCTAACGTTGTTAAAATGATTGAAACACTGATGAAGGGATTCAATTAAATGTATGGTGGAATTTATGTTGAGTAAAACATTCTTGAGCCTTGTTTAAAAAGTGAATGGGTTAGAAGGATTTATTGCACACATAAACCTTCTATGGATAAATATTGCCATTTTAATGATTCATTTTTCAAATGAACATCACAATGCCCTGTATCAATTTAGTTGAACATTGAAAATGCTGCTTTTTGTTAACATTGCACATCATAATGGCACATATTCCCTTCTCTTTTCCAGTGTATGATGATATGATTTTGGCAATGAGTAGAGTCTGTGGTAAGTAAATGCCTTCTAATTTTCAATTCATTTTGGGTACTAACATCACTGTTTCCTGAGATGGGCATTGATGGCTACGAAAGAGGAAGCCAATAGAACTGCAGTGCATGCTTTGAGCTGGGCGTGGATTAGACGACTGGGAGGTTGTCTGCTGCTGGGTGGTGCTATTCTAGAGGGCTTTTCAGCATTATGTGTAGAGTGAGTTTTCCTTTAAGAAACCAAGTTTGGGCTTTCTGATTCTCTACTTCTTCCATTTTGCCTTGAATGAATTTGGTAGATTGCTTTGTACATAATTGCTTACAGCATCTTTTTACACACCTTGAAGAGCAACGATGAATTATTAAGCCTCTCACTTTGTGTCATATGCATTGAGCCACATGTTAGTTCTGTGAATAGATTCTCCCTCTTCATTCACCCTCCCAAGGAGACTGTTAGAACAAAGATACTGGTTATTAATTTGTTAATAGCTTAGTGTGTACAGTGATGTGTATTATCAATTATGTAGTTTTATTGCTGGGAGCTCTCTAGAGATGACCTCATTTATGTCTTCAGATCAAGTAGCTGAACCCTAGAGAAATCAAGTGGCTTAAGTGTGGACATCCAGCCCAGAGCGTGGGACCCCAACTGGAAGTGAGCATATCTCTCCATCAAGTTCTGCTGTGGCCTCATGCCACTTTTCTGTCATTCGTGTGAACACCATTTTCAGTTCATTTTCATTGTTTTCTCTGTAAGGTAGACTTTATTCCCTTCTGTTTTGCTTGGTCAAATAAAATGGTGCATTTTAAATAGGGTTCACTCTTGATGGGCCAAACTCGGCTCGTGGATATGCACACTGTTTTGTGAAGCTAAATCAAGCCCTTTGAGAAGTGGCTTCACTCTTTAAAAAAAAAACATTTATTTATATTAAATGTGCATTTATGGAGTACTGTATGATGTTTTGATCTATGTGTACATTGTAGAAAGATTCAATGAAGACAATTAGCATATCCATCACCTGACATTCTTACAGACATATATTTTTTGTGTTGAGAATGTTAAAAATCTATTCTTTTAGCAATTTTGAAGTATACATTATTTTTAATGATTTCACCATACAGTGCAGCCGATTACTGCAACTTACTCCTCCAGTGAGACATTGGGCCCTTTGATCAACATCTTTCCTTTCTCCATCTTTTACCCTTTGTTCCAGCCTCTCATAACCATGATTCTACTCTGTTTCTATGAGTTTGACATTTTTTAGATTCCACATATGGGAGGATATACAGTATTTGTCTTTCTCTGGCTTATTTCACTTAACATCCTGTTATCTGTTTCTATCTGTATTGTCACAAATGACAGAATTCCCTTCTTTTTAAATGCTGAATAGTATTCTGTTGTGTATATATACCAAATTTTCTTTACCCATTCTTTTGTTGATGAACTCTTGGGCTGATTTCATGTCCTGGCTACTGTGAATAATGCTACAGTAAACAGGAGTGCAGATATCTCTTCCACATACTGATTTCATTGCCTTTGGATATACACACAGAATTGGGATTGCTGGATCATATGGTACTTCTATTTGTAGTTTTTTAAAAGGAAACTCTTTTCTGTTTTCGATAATGGTTGTACTAATTTACATTCCCACCAATAGTGTACAAGTGTTCCCTTTTATCCACATCCTCACCAGCTTTTGTCTTTTGTCTTTTTGATAATGGCCATTCTAGCAAGTGTGATGTGATATTTAAATGTGGTTTTGGTTTTCATTTTCCTGATGATTACTGATGTTGAGTATTTATTTATTTATTTTGATTTCTTTTCTCTACTTTAAAGGTGTGGGATACAATTCAGAGTGAGGTATACAAATGTTCATTATGCAGCAACCCTTGTTGATGAGGTGTGCACCTCCCTCTCCTGGCAGTTTCCCTCAACTGCCAATCCCACTCCTCCTCCCCTGGCAGTTTCCCACTACTGCCAAGCCCTTTCTTACAGTATTATGATAATTGCTCAAGGTCTGCTTGTAAGTCAGGTACTCTGTTCTTTGTTTCTGTGATAGATCTGATGTTGAGTATTTTAAAAAAATATATGTTTATCATTTTTATTTCTTCTTTTGAAGAATGTCTGTTCAGATCCTCTGCTCATTTTTAAATTGGGTTCTTTTTTCCCTTGCTGTTGAGTTGTTTGAGTTCCATGCATTTTGAATATTAGTCCCTTATCCAATGTATGGTTTGCAAACATTTTCTTCCAACCTATGTTTTGTTTTGTTTTGTTTTTACTGTTGTCTTCTTTTTTGTGCAGAAGCTTTTTAGTTTCAAGCAGCTCTATTTGCTTACTTTTGCTTTTGTTGTTTGTATTTTTAGAGTCATATCTAAGAAGCTATTTCCCAGCTCAATGCTGTGGAGCTTTCTCCTCATTTTCTTCCAGTAACTTTTCAGTTTCAGGTCTTACATTCAGTTGTAAAAATCTATTTTTAGCTGATATTTGTATGTGGGTGTGAGATAAGGGTCTAATTTCTTTGTTCTGCCTGTAGATATTCAATTTTCCCAACACCATTTATTGAAGAGACTGCCCTTTCCTTGTTGTATATTCTTGGCATCTTTGTCAAAGATCAGTTATCCATAAATACTTGGATTTATTTCTGGGTTCTCCATCCTGTTCCATTTACCCATGTATCTGTTTTTATGCCAGTACCATGTTGTGCTGATTACAACAGCTTTATAATATATTCTGAGGTCAGGGAGTGTGACGTATCCAGCTTCGTTCTTTTTCCTCAAGTTTGCTTTGACTGTTTGAGGTTTTTCTGGTTCCATATGTATTTTAGGATTGCTTTTTACCATTTCTGTGAAAAATAACATTGGAATTGCTTTGAGTAGTAAAAATCAGTTTCACTCCCTTGGTCTTGGGGTCTAGCCGCAGTCTCCTGGCCCCACAGACCCACCCTGCTGTGGTTGGGGCTCCCTCTCAGTGACCCACTTGCAGGCTGCAGACAATCTTGGGTGATCCTCGGGTGCTGGTGTTGTGTTGGTCTCAGAGCAACCTCTTGGGGCCTGTGTTATGAGCCTCTGGCAGGCTGAACCCACTTGCTGCTTATGTCCAGTGCTGTACTTTTCCTTTCAGGAACCGTGAGCCCCTGCTCGGTGGGGTCTGTGTGGTCGTCTCTACCCTGCATGGCAAGGAAGTGTATGCACCTACTTGACTCTTCTGTTTCTTCTGAGAGCAGTGGCAATTCTGAATACACATTCACACTCATGCACAGGCACACACACCTACACACACACTCACTCACCCACACCCACACATTCACACTGTCTCACACTCACACACTTATACACCTACACACACGGACACACACATTCACGCACCCACACCCACACACTCACACAACACTGTAACACACTATTTCACACACATAAATACATAAACACACCCTCACACAGACACACACACACCCACTCACACACTCATGCACTCAAAATCACACAACACTGTAACACACTCATATCATCTCACACTCACACACACTCATACATGCACACAAACTCTTACACACACACACTTATACAACACTGTAACACATTCACACTATTTCACACACAAATACACAAACACACACTCATGCTTACAGACACACACCTACTTACACAGTCATACACCCACACTCATACACTAACACACTTACACTATCCAACACTCACATGTACACACTCACATTCCCACCTACACAACTGCTCACACACCCACACTGTCTCACACTCACACACATTCATACAAGCACACACACTCTCACACATGGACACACATCCACTCACACACTCAAACACCCACAATCTCACACAACATTGTAACATATTTACTTCATCTCACACTCATGCACACTCATACACACCCACACTCTCACATTCTTACATGCAGACACACACCCACTCACACATGTGTACCTGTACCCACACTATCTCACACTCATACAAACACACACTCTCACACACTGACACACTCACATGAACACTCACACATAACTCACAAGTACTTACACAACCACACACACATATTTACATATGCACACTCACATGCTCATGTACCCACACCCACACACTTACACAATGTTGCAACACACTTATATTATCTCACACTCACACACCCTCATACATGCATGCACTCACTCTTGCACACTGACATACTCACATGCACAAACATATATAACTCACAAATACTCATATAATCACACACTCATATTCACATATACACATTCACACTCATATACCCACACCCACACACTCACAACACTATCTCATACTCGCACCCACTCATACGTGCATACACTTACACTCTCATACACTGATGCACTCATATACATACACTCACACAGAACTCACAGGGACTCATACAATCGCACACTCATACACACACAATTCACACACAGACACAGGCACACGCTCATGTACCCATATGCCTCACATTCACACAACACTCTAACATACACTCACACACACTCCACACATGCATACTCTCATACACTTTTGCACTCACTTGTACACACTCATACTTAACTCACAAGTTCTCATAGAATCACACACTCACACTCATATGCACATACTTACACAACTCTCATTCACATGTGAACATAGGCACTCACATGTACTCAATGCAACACATTCACAAACACTTCAACACACACAGTCTCATACTCATACTCTTCACACACACTTTAATACAGTCACACTTGTGCGCACTCACACACAACTCACACTATCATGCTCTTATATTCATACACATACTCATGCTATCATGCTCTCATGCTCTCATGCTATCATGCTCTTATATTCATACACATACTCCTATGCTCCCTGCCCATTTGCTCTTTTGAGTCTCTTTCTGGGGACGTGACCCATTGTCATGTTCACAGAACACCTTCAGATTCCTTGCCCATCCTGAGGACGCTGGGATGAGTCTCATCATCTTCATACATGTCTTTAATGGTAGCCTATGGAGCCTGCTTGCTAATATTTTTAGGCCTTAAATCTTGCAATATTCAATGTAGGCTTCAAATGGGCTCTTGTCATCCCTTATCAATGACTTTATAGAATTAAAGGAGTGTCATTTGGTCTGACTAATAACACGTGTAACCAAGCTTCCATTATTTCCTGAAACATGGGAATCAAATGCTAAACACACCCTCAGTGGTGGTGCTGACTACCGTGGAAACGCTGGTTTAGGAAAGTCATGCCATCCATATCAGGATGCCTGTGGGGGCTTCTGCCTTAGGAGGAGACCTCTAGCCATACTCAGGAGAGGCGTTTGGGTCAAAGTTTGTAGCTCTGTGGGGCATCAGTGGAATACCAGTCTAACGTAAGGGAATGTCACCTGTGAAGAAAAGTGCACATAGAGAGCTGTCAAAACAGTGACTGTATGTTTTCTGGAGCACAAAAACATTCCCTAATTCATTAAGACTAGGTACACAATTTCTGTATTTTTTGTGTTCAGGGTTTTCTAGCATACCAACTTCTGTGGTTTTGTGTGGTGGTGTCTTAGCCCATGTGTCCTCTCAAGGGATACCTGAGACTAAGTAGCTTACAATGAAAAGAAGATTACTTGGTTCATGGATCTGCAGGCTTTAAAGAAACATAGCATTGGCTTCTGTTTCTAGTGAGGCCTCAGGAAGCCTCCATCCATGGCAGAAGGCAAAAAGAAGCTGGCCAGAGAGGGAGCAAGAAAGAGAGGGAGGTGCTAGACTTTTTTTGGCAAACAGGTCTTTTGTGAACTAACAGATCAGAACTCAGTCATTACCACAGGGAGGGCACCAAACGATTTATGAGACTTCCTCCCTCATGACCCTAACACCTCCCACCAGGCCCCACCCCCGCATTGGGGATCATATTTCAACGTGAGACTTGAAGGGGACAATAATCCAAACTATATCAATGGGAAAGCTAAGGGGTCAGCGACTCCCCCACCCATCCCTCTTTACCACATTTGATGAAACTACAGAGAGAAATAAAAAGGAGAAAAGGCTTCAGAAACTTATTACATACTCTTTCTCCTTGGGCATATTGTATGTTTCCAATATCAAGAATTCAAAATACTTTCAGCATATGTGATACCTTACTTTACATTTCCCTCCTGTCCCCATCTCGTATTTTCCGTCTCTATCGGCCCTTCTGCCAATAAGTGCAAACACTAGGAGATGACTAGAGAATGAGAGATGTTTAGAACAGGTAGTCACATCCCATATTTCATTTTACCCCTCAAAGCCAGGAGTGAAGCTCCGCCAACTTTTTTCTCCAATAAACCTTCCCCCCCATCAGCCCTTCCTCTTTTGTTAGAACATCTCCTTCATCAGCCCTTCCTTCCACAGCCCTTTCTCCTCCATCAGCACTTTCTCCTCCATCAGCCCTTCCTTCCTTATCAGACCTTCCTTCTCCACCAGGCTGTCCCTCTCCTGCATCAGCCCATCCTCCTCCACCAACTCTTTCTCCTCCATCAGTCCTTCCTCCTTCCTCAGCCCTTTCTTTTCCATCAGCCCTCCCTTCCCCGCCATATTCCTGTCTCCTCCATCAGCCCTTTCTTCTTCATTAGCCCTCACTTCTCCATCAGACTTCCTTTCTTGATCAGCCATTGCTGCTCCGTCAGCCGCTTATTCTTCTCCTTCAGCCCTAACTCCTCTACCGGGCTTTCCTCCTCCATCAGACCTTCATCCTCCATCACCCCTTCCTCCTTCATTAGTTCTTCCTCTTCCACCAGCCCTTTTCCACCAATCCTTCCTCCCCCATCAGCATTTTGTTCCTCTTCAGCCCATCCTCTGCCATCAGCCCTGCCCTCTCCTCCATCAGCACTCTCCCCCCATAAGCTCTTCCTCCTTCATCAGGCCTTTTCCTTCCCTCCGCTTTTCTTCCTCCATGAGACCTTTCTCCTGCCTCAACCTGCCCTCTGCCATCAGCCCTCCCCTCTCCTCCTTCAGTCCTTCCTCCTCCAGCAACCCTTCCCTATCCTTCATTCTCCATCAGCCCTTCCTTTTGCATCAGCCCTCACTTTTCCATCTGCCCTTGTTCCTCTACCAGCGCTTCCTTCTCCATCGGCGCTTCCTTTTGCATCAGCCCTTCCTCTTCCTCATTCCTTCCTTTCGTATCGACCCTTCCGTTTGCATCAACCCTTCTTTCGACTCTCTCAGTCCTTCTTCCTTTATGAGCCCTTCCTCCTCTGTCCGTCCTTTCTTCTCCATCAGCCTTTCCTCCTCCATCAACGCTTCCTCCTCCTTCAGCACTTTCTTCCTTCTCAGCCCTTCCTCCCTCTTCAGCTCTTTCTTCTCCGTCAGCCCTTCCTGCTCCCTCATCTTTTCCTTCCTTTTCAGTCCTTCCCCTTTCCAACTTTTTCTTAGGTCTTTTTTCTTGATCTTACTGCTTCCTTACCTTCCTCCTACGAGTCCACTGTCTTCCTTCAGCATGTGCAGTCTCTTCCTTTAATGATGTGCTTCCTTCAGTGTTTGGTGCCTAGGTTTTCTTTTTGTCTTTTGTGCTAGTGTCTGTTGTCAAAGGCCCGCTGATCCTGTGAGGATTGTTGGCATTATAGGAGGTTGAGTGGCAGTTGAAGGATTTTGATCTTGTGGGTACATGGTTTTTATCTCAAATTGCTCAGACCCTCTGGTGTTTGGCGTGGTTAGGTTGGTTCTGGTCTTCTAGAATTTGAGCAGAGGAAGGTGAAGCTGGGTTGGGGATTCTCCTGCCGAGGATGTGAACTTTCACTCGGTCTCACAGTTTCAGCCTGTGACTCACCGGATCGAGCCTCCTCTACCCCAACCAGAGGTTTTGAGTTCTAATTCTGAGAAGGGTTAACTCCAGGCTTCTGGCAGAGGGAACAGTGTCTCACGTGATTGGGGAGAGAAGGCAGCCAGGAGCCTCTCTGTTTCTTATGTAGATTTCCAATTACCTTCCTGTGTGTAGTCTGCTCCTGTGTGTGGAGGAGCCTGGTACCCAGGTGTGGGCTTTCAGGTTCTAGGCCACAAGTTCACTGGGCATATCTTGGCTCCCTTAGCACATGGTCCCTTAGTCCTCAAGGCCTTCCCTCTGCCTTCTGGAACACTGAGGATGGGCTCAAAGCCTGCTATGTCTTCTCCTTTCTGTTCCATGAGTTCATGTGTGTGTTTCCCCCTTACTGGGACCAGCAGGGCTTAGGAAGGCAGATCAGCCTTGCAAGGCCAGAGATTTACCTTGTCGTCATGGCTGTGCATGCTTGTCACCCATAGTCTCAGTTCATTCCTATAGCAACTCTGTCACGGAAAGGGTTTTTTATTTATTTATGTTTTGGTGAATGTTATTTCTTTCCCCGTATGCATTTAAGAATGGAAAATAGGCCGGATGTGGTGGCTCATGTCTCTGTAATACAAGTACTTTGGGAGGCCAAGGTGGGAGGGTCACTTGTGGCCCCGAGTTAGAGCTCAGCCTTGGCAACATAGTGAGACCCTATTTCTGCAAAACAATGAAAAGGAAATAAAGAACTTCACAAGCATGGCCATTTTTATTTTGGCTTCTAATTTTTTACATAGTTGAAGTCATAAATACAGTTTGTTTCTCCTCCACCCCACATTTTATAATAATTTTCTTTATTTTATATATATTTTATATCTACATTTTCTAATTGCTATATAATATTTCATGGAGTCATGATACGATGCTTTCAACTCTTCCTTATAGGGATGTTCACAATTTTTCATGTTTATAATTAACTGTATAATGTTCATCTTCGGACAAAAAAGATACCTTTTTTAATATTTAGGACTAATTTCTTCTAGTGAATTCCTAGAAGTACAATTTTTATGTAGAATACTATGAATATTTTAAAGATTTATAGTATAAATTTCAAGTTGCTTACCAAAATTAAGAAATGTTATTTTAAAAAGCTCCTCTTTTTTTTTGGCCAGAACATCCTTATTAGCAGTTTGTAATCTATTATTTTCCATTATCATTGCTAATTTCATAAATATAATTTTCTAGGTTAAGGAATACCATAAGTTAATGTAAACTCTAAGGTTATATATCTAATAACAATCTCTAGTAAACTTCAGAGTTTTTTCCATAATAATATGCTATTTCTTGACCTTTTTTTCCTGACCTTTCAACCCCAAGACCATCTACCCCAACTGAATCAGTCTAGATCTTTATTCCAAACACACTAAGCATGTTCCCGTGTCTTAGATGTTCTTACTACCTATGATTTCTTATGCCTTCTTTCCCCTGACTGAATCTTCACTCATCTTGAAGGACCAGCCTGGGTCCTACTTTCTCCCTGACCCCTACCTGAGCCAGTTCTGCTGGCTCTTAATGTCCCTTTGACTGACTTTCTACAAAACTTAAGATCTGGATCGACTTATGTAGCATTTATCATGCAGCATTGCTGTTTATACTATTTTCCCTCCTCCTCTTAAGCTAAGTTGCTAAGAGGAAAGATGTTGATTCTCTCTCTCTCTCTCTCTTTAATAAATATGTCTCTTACAGTATTCTGCAAAGAGCTTGTCACATAAGTCTAGCATAGCAGGTGCTTATTTAATGAATGAATACAGCATGGGAATGTAGTATGAGAATGTGTGGGTGACCAGTTTTGAAATACACATGTGTGAGAACGCGCCGGCAGATGGGTGCATTGGCTCTGGCTGGCAACACCTTTCCATGATACACACACATGCTGCTTTTCTTAGATCTCAGGAACTTTATCTTCTGCAGGAAAATCTGCTTCTCCACTGAAGATACTCTGCACTCCAGAAGGAATCAGAATGCAGTGCTTCATGAAATATTTCACAGAAGAAATGAAAGTGAACTGGTATCACAAGTAAGTAGGAGAGTGACTGCTGGCAGCCAGGAGGTAAGTGGGCCAGCCATTGTGCAGCAGGGCTGGGTGCTCCACGGGGAAGGTCAAGCTGCTGCCATTTCCTCCAAACTGTGTAATTTTGAGCAATGATGACAGCCTTTGGCTTGGGCAGGGGCCATCTTGATAGTGGGGAGGACTTTGAGAGGGAGACAGAGAAAAAAATGCCAGGAGGTGTTAGAAACATTTCTCCAGCGTCTCTCTTTTTCCAAAGGTGGTTCCATGAGTGAGCAGAGAGCTCAGGCAGAAATAGTATTTAGAAACCAGGCCACAAATTTCCAATGTGTTGGTTTCTCACTAAACTTGGTTAAAAGTAAAAGGACCAAAAGAGGCCCAATTATTACAATGGAAAAAGAATGAGAATAATAAGATCAAGCCTTGTATACACAGAGAGGTTTTCTGTATTTTGGGATTCTCTGGGTAGGTAAAGATAGCTATGAAAACCTCTAGAGATTTCTCACTTGAGTCAGGGCAGAGACAGTCCTTACTGCCCATCCTTGGGGTCTGGCTCCTTCGATTCAAACCACACGCTGACATCCAGAACAACTTGCCAAATGGCACACTGAATCTGGGAGTCTCTGAGAACAGGACTTTGGTCCCTCTAGGACAAAACCACAGATAAAAGTGGGATATAGATGGGGGCAGGAGACAGATGCGGGATTGTGCCTTTTTATTGATCTCGACTCCAACCTAAGGGCACGAGGGCAACACGTTTAGGCTGATTTTTCAGTGGTGCCAATATACCTAATCTCATGTTCCTCCACACGCTATAGCTATACCCAGATACCGCAGACATTTAACAAATATTTCAAAAGGCCAATTATGGTTCTGACTATTTCGTTTTTAAAGGAATTGCTTTGTTTAGGTGACTCTATTTGTGAGTAAATTGAGGTGCCAAAAGGATATATGTTCTTGGTGTTTTTCCGATGCTTTTGTCTTGGATGTTATGCTTAGAAACATAAAATACTAAGATATACTGGGGTCTTAATATCTGTGTTTGGAATCTTACATTTCTGTGTTTTTAATAGTGTGGTATTCAGTACTAGGTAGTATCATTAGTGATCTCAAGTTAGGGGTTTGGTAGGAAAGAGTATGGAATGCAGAGCCTTTAAAAAAATTTTTATTTTAAAGATGGGTGCAATTCAGGGTTAGGGATACATACGGTCATTGTACAGGTAAAGTTTGGACTTTACTTTAGTTCCCATTTCACCTGGTTTGAGATCAGATGCTCCTATTGATGAGGTGTGCCCCAAAGTCTTTTTAAAATAAAGAATTTCAGTAGCTAGAGCTTGAAAGACTGAAAAGCTAGTGTATTTTTGTGATCTAATTGTTTATAAGGATTTATTTTCTTAGACAATGAATAAATCTATGTTTTTAGCTGAATCAAACTTTCTCTTGGAAAAGGAGAATTGATCACACACACTCTTCTCTGGTCTTTCTTGTTATTTATGGCATCGTCTTGCAGTAAGTTGTATACAGTTGTCATGCGTGTCTTGTATTCAGTCATTAACATGCCCATCTTCTGGGAGAGGTTGTTCCTCATTCAGCTTGCCTGGTCCGTTGCACAGGGCATGTTCTGTGCTGGGTCTGGGGGTATAGAGACTGAACATATGCCCAAACATACCTGCATGAATACTAGGACACATGTGTGTAGATATGTTATGTCAGCCTTAGAAAGCAGGCACTTTGTGGTGCACTCTCAACACATGTCATTCCATTTAATCCTCACAAACACCAAATGAGTTACGTATTGACACCCACATGTTATAGATGTGGAAACTGAGGTTTAGTGAGTGACACATAAATCATTGTGCTCGGTCACACAGCTAGTAAGTGACTGGGCAGGGATTGGAATATGAGTGATCTTACTGTAATCATGACTTTCCTGAGAATGTCCAGCTTGTGGAGAGGGTTGATCACAGGCAGACAGACAGGTGAGGCACAAATTCTACATCTTACGCATCAGTAATGTTGGGTCAGATGAAAAAGACACAAGATACAAAAAGTGAAAGAGGTGTTATAGTAAACCCCAGACTCATGAAAGTAGCCTTATTTCTGTTTCCTCTTCCCCAAACAGAATTCATCACACAACAAAAGACATTTCTGCAGCATTTTTGTAGCTAAAATAACATTTAGACCTCAATTTGGCATATACGCTAAAAGTATATAACTTTTAGCCATATTTTACTGTTTGCCTATTAAACTATTTTAAACTATTATTAATGTTTATTTATTTATTTTTATAGACAGGGTCTCACTCTGTCGCCTAGGCTGAGTACAGTGGCACAATCATAGCTCAGTATAGCCTCCAACTCCTGGGCTCAAGTAATCTTCCCACCTCGGCCTCTCAAGTAGCTGGGACTACAGGGGCATGCCATGATGCCTGGCTAATTTTTGTATTTTTTTAATTGTAGAAACAAAGTCTTGCTATATTGCCCAGGCTGGTGTCAAACTTCTGGCCTCAAGCAATCCTCCCACCTCGGTCTCCCAAAGTGCTGGAGTTACAGGCATCCTAAACTATGTTTAAACTATATGTTAAGCTATATTTTGTGGATCTATTCTATCCTATAATGAAAACATAATGTTTGGTTATGTTTTATGACTTAATCATTAAATGAGTTCTTATTAGATAACAACTGGATAGAGCATAATGTAAAAATGTGCTGAAATGTAACTTAGTCTTTTGAGGCTAAATGATCTACTTCACAGATTCTGTGATGTGGGAATGCAGTGGTTGGAGACCGTGCTGTAGAGACTGGAGTGTTCTGTGTTGATGGGTGACACTGAATCAATAGAGTGCAATGATAGTTTTGTAAGATGCGAACGTAAGCAAAGGCAATTGTTCTTTGGTTAAAAATTCTGAGTAGTATATCAAGGGAATATAGAACATGCCACTTTAGAAAAAGACTTGGAAACCTATTCTACATGAGTTAGAAGTGGGCAAAGAGAAACTCAGCAAAAATGCACTTCAGAAAAAAGATTGTGTTCTCTTGCTCAAAGGTTAAGAAATTAATATGTCATCTAGTCATGGCTAGACCTCAAGTCCTGAACGTATTGACCATTGTCTATGTCAGGTAGCTATAATAGTTAATTCAGTAAAAGGCAGCCAGAGCAATTAACAGCTATGTTTGAGTGCTGGAATGTGTTATGCCCTCTTACAAGTTGGCTGACAGAGCAGCAACCAGGGTGAGGGTGTGGGGTCTAGGGTGAACCTGTGAACCCAGGGGTGGGAGGGCTGGAGACCCGAATTCATCTCGAGGTGGACACTAGGGGCATAGAAATCAGGGACAATGGGAGTCTCTGCTGGCTCTCCTACTCAGGATGTTGTTTTCTGTGAGTGGCTTCATTGTGGTTCCTGGGGAACAGAATGGGTACCAACCAAGAGAAGCATGAGTAATCTGAGAGATGAGAGATGTGGGGATCAGCACTCCATCATGGCAGCTCAAGGCTGAAATTCGGGTTTCAGGCATATTCCTGGTCCAGGGCTCGGGACCAGTGATGCCTTTGGAGCTGAGCTCGGGGAAGGGGCCGCGTCACCAGTTGCAGGCTGCGGGGGTCCTGGCTCAGTGCACCTCGCATGCATGTATATGTGCATACCTTTATAGTGCTTGCATGCATATGTGCATACGTGCATGTATGCCCCCAGAATCTGGGGTGGCAGCACAGCTGAAGTGAGGTAGGTGGGGCCATAAATGTTTGGGATTCCAGAAGTGCACCAAGCAGGCCTGTGTGACTTGGTGTTTGGTGGACACCCCTTCTCCCTGTGTGGTCACTAACCTTGGTCACTGGCTGAGTTGACACTGTGTGGATGCAAATGATCTTCTCTTAAATTATGTGGCTTTGGAAAGAAACTCCCCATGCAGTAGAGTACCAATTTGTTTACGTCAAACTTGAATGACAAATCGTTCTGAGGTCATGGGCAACCAATAGGAGGCCAAGGGAGCAGTGGTTTGCCTCTGGTCTCTCTATTTTCCCTGCTATGGGGCCAGCATATCCAGTCACAACCAAGCAGGAGCATGGCAGCACCTTGTCAGCGCTATTTTAAGAATGCTTGCTTGAATGTTTGCATTTCCTTCTATCAGATACATCCCAAATTTTAAAAAATTGTTTTTTTTTCCTTTACAAGCAACTTGCTAATTATGTGAGTAGAACAGATTGCCATCAGAATGGGACATATTCTGATAGAACCTACAGACCTCAAAGGCAAGAATGATCATTACTTCCAAGAGTACTTGCAAGATGGCCCAGTGAATTTCACCTGTTGACCAAAGCTGTGCAATGTGTTAGATACTGTGGAAACACAGTTAATTTTTTTGAACAGCAATGAGTCTGACAACGCAAGATTTGGGGGCTGTTTTCAGCTTTCCCCACAGCAAAAGCTCTAGTTTCTCATCCTCTTTCTCCCCCCGCCCCATTTTCTCTGTCTCTCTTTGTCTCTCTCTGTCTCTCTCTCTCTCTCACATCTAGTCATCTAGTCATGGCTAGACCTTTCTTTGGAAGGGCAGGTAGTGATAAGGGAATCATTAACACACTGTGAATGGTTCAAAAGGTAAATTTTGCTTTATGTATAGTCTACCACACTTTTTAAAAGTTTAAATAAAACCAAAGTGCTCATACTATTCCTGTCTTCTAAGGTGGCAGAGCTCTATACATGTAAATCCAACCTGTTTAATGTAGTCAGATGTGTATATATTGTGTCCTAAAGTTACTCCAATAGATTTTGGGCCTATCTTATTAGATTTCCAAAGAAACCTTGCCGGGCAGGTGCTACATCGTTCCTTTTTCCTGGAGGATCCAAGGCTAAGCCATTTGCCTGAAGCCAATTCCACAGTCATCTCACAAATAACCCTTCCAGTGTTCTCCTCCTTGCCCCGGTTTCCCCAGTATCCTGTGTGCTCTCTGAAGCCTGTCACTCTCTGCCATAGACTAATATCATCATGAACACATGTGATGAACATCAGCCACTAGGGCTATTTCTGTGTACAGAAAGCTTAGCACAGTGCTGAGCATTAAATGTGGGCTTAACACGTATTTGTTGAATGAAAAAAGAACTGAGAAAAAACCTATGATGGTGAGGAGGACTGGGATTCTTTTTCTCAGTTGGACTTGACAGGTACTTAGTTGCTGGCAAGGGTAAGAAGGGTAAGGATGTGGACTGTAAGCCTGGTGGTTGGCTCCCACACAGCCTGACCCTGACCTCAGGAGCTCTGGCCTCTGTAGAGCTGGCACGTGAGAGAGACAGACCCACATTTGTGTTTCTATCTGGCCCCGAGGTCCTGTTTTCATGTTCCCCTGATTGTAACTTACAAATAATTCACGAATCCCTTTAGATTGAAGGAGCTTCAGGACATAAGTCATACACATTCATCTACGATGAGCAGGTTGGCTCCACATGTTACAGTATGATGTGGTGCTCATGTTGGAATGATATTTAGTTTTTAACTTTTACTTAGACTTTAAAAATTGAAGTAGAGGGCAACCCCTTCAGGTCCCCTCTCACTGTGGGAGCTTTTCTGTCCTCTCAATAAATCCTGCTTTTTTACTTAAAAAAAATTGTAGTAGAATACACAGAATGTAAAATTTGCCATTTTAGCCATTTTTAAGTGTGCGGCTCAGGGGCGTTGAGTACAACTGCATTGTGTGCATTCATCACCACCATCCACCTACAGAACTTCTTCATCTTGTCAGACTGAACCTCTGTCTCCATTAAATATTAACACTTAGGCCAGGCGTGGTGGTGGTGACTTACGCCTATAATCTCAGCATTTTGGGAGGCCAAGCTGAGAGGATTGCCTGAGCCCACAGGTTCGAGGTCAGCCTGGGCAACTTGGTGAGACCTCATCTCTACCATAAATCAAAATATTAGCCAGATGTGGTGGTGCACACCTGTAGTTCCAGCTACTTGGAAGGCTGAGGCGGAAAAATCTCCTGAGCCCTGCAGGTCGAGGATGTGATGGCCATAAGCAGTGTGCTTCTGCACTCCAGCCCGGGTGACAGAGTGAGACCCCAGTATTTAAATAAATAAGTGAATAAATATTAATTCTTCATCCCCCACCCCCTAACCCCCGGCAATACCAATTTACTTTCTGTCTGTATGAATGTAAATACCCTAAGTATCTCATAGAAGCAGACTCATGCAGTATTTGCCCTTTTGTGTCTGGCTTCTTGCTCAGTGTAATGTCCTCAAGGTTCATTCATGTTAGAGCATGTATCGGAACTGTTTTCCATTTTAAGGCTGAATAATATTCCCTTGCATGGATGGATCACATGTTGTGTATCCATCCATCCATCAATGGACACTTGATTTGCTTCCATGTCTTGACGCTGTGAACAGTACTGCTAAGAATGTGGATGTACAAATATGTCTTCAAGGCCCTGCTGTCAGTTCTTTTGAGTATATACCCAGGAGTGCAATTGCTGGCTCATAGAATAGTTCTATTTTTAACTTTTTGAGGTGCTACCATCCTATGTAGAATGTTTTAAAGTCCACTATCTTGTGACAAGTCTATATTAAATAATTACATATCTTTAAAAATTAAGCATTTTTAAATTTTAGGGTTTCAGATCTGAGTTACTGGTGTAGTGAATACATTTGTAATAGCCACAAAAATCGATTGTGGTGTCAGCATCAGCAAGTTAGAAAAGGCTCCCACCCAAATGTGTGTGACGTTGCCCCATAGAATTGTACATGGATCATGGAGACTCTAAGTTGAATATTTCCCTGTTGATTCTTAAAGAGATGCTAAGATTTCATCCAGTGAGCACATGCGTATCGGAGGCAGTGAGGAGATGGCCTGGCTGCAGATCTGTGAGCCCACGGAGAAGGACAAAGGAAAATATACCTTCGAGATTTTCGATGGGAAAGACAACCATCAGCGTTCCCTTGACCTGTCTGGACAAGGTATAACAATTATTCTTTAGCATTTGATAATTTTGCAGTTAGAGATCCTTTTCGATGTTGAAAGGAATAGGACACATCAGGGGGAAGAATCTGATTTTCTGATTTCCATTCAGAGAAAATCATTACTGAAAAATCAGTTAATTCATTTGACTATTTATCCGTTTTCATTGACCAGATTCACTAGTGGAATATCTGAGTGAATGAATGAAGGCCAACTACTGTAATGGTTAATAATGAATGCAATCTTCCCTTGCAGCTTTTGATGACGCATTTGCAGAATTCCAGCAGCTCAAGTAAGATTTGCATACTTGGTTATTATGATATTGTCTGGGAGTCCCATGGAAGCTGAGTATTTTGGCTGCATGTGAGAATATGTGTAGACACCTATGTGACTGGAAGAGCCACTGTTCCTGGGAAAAGGTGGCAATTTAGCCACTTCAATATGTCGAAGGGCAGGCATCCTCTAAAACTAGAAATACACTCATACATTAACTCTCTAGAGTCATAATAACCCTGGATTAGTTTAAAATGAAGGACTTCTGAAATCGTTAGACCCATGGTAACGCATCACACAAAGCAACTTTTTAAAGATTGATTTGGTATTTTCAAAGAGCAGTCCTTGGCCTATGCTAGGTTATTCAATAAATATTTGTTGACTGGGTGCAGGGACAAGTAAGATAAATCAGAAACTAACAATTTTGAAAAAAAAGTCTAATGTCTCCAATGCAATTCAGTGAATTTGGTGAAAAAGCAACTCTTCAACCTGTGAGTTGGAATGGCAAAATTTTCTGTGGGGTTTAGCTTCTAGATAATAAGGCATTTTCCACCTCCAAATGGACAGTGGAACCATCAGGAAAAATGTACAGACTCTGTCCTGGGATACTGACCCGAGTGTGTTTTCTCCGAGAAAGAACCCACATCCCCAGCAAATCTCATGCATGGCACATTTCATAGGAAGCACATTCTCAATGCCTTTTTAATTCTCTCCTCTTTCCCCTTTCATTTTTAGGGCTGCTGCTTTTGCTGAGAAGAGTAAGTACATGTCAGATTGTAAGAAGGATGATGTATTATCTTGGGTGGGGCGAAAGGGCTCATTTTTAGAGTGTTAATTGTATGTACTAAATAATGACCAGGCACCCTCTCACTCTGCTTTGACCATGCCTGGCTCAGCCCACCTCTCAGCCTTAGCCTCAGGACCCCTTGGGCATCCCTCCTCCCTGCTGTCCTCCATCTGCTCTTGCCAAACCCTGCCCCCAGGTGCCAGAAGTCTTCCCATTCTCCCTGACTCTCTGGCCTCAGTTCTGGTGGCACCTCATCCTCCAATCCCAGCTCACACCTCATGGTTCCTCTAGAGTCTTTCATGACATGCTCCTCACAGACGTGGTCATTTCTTCACCTGTACCCTGTGGCCTTGGGCTTGTCCCTTAACGATCTCTATGTATCTATTTCTTTGGTGCCTGTTCCGGGAGAGCACAGACTCCTCCCTGGTTCCCACACAGTGCTCAGCCCAACCTCTGCTCTGTGGGAATGCCTTTGAGCATGTTTTTCTTTCCTTTTTTTTTTTCTGAGTTGGAGTCTTACTCCATCGCCCAGACTGGAGTGCAGTGGCACGCTCCTGACCACCGCAGCCTCCGGCGATCCTTCTGCCTCAGTCTTCCAAGTAGCTGGAACTACAGGCGGGGGCTACCACGCCCGGCTAATTTTTTGACTTATTGTAGAGATGACGTCTCACCAAGTTGCCCGGGCTGGTCTTGAACCTGCGGGCTCAGTCAATCCACTCACCTCAGCCTCCCAAAGCACTGGGATTACAGGCTGAGCCATGGAGCCTGGCCATGTTTTTCTGAGTTGCTTTCCTGTTGCAGATCGTGGCAAGGTGATAGGAGGTTTGCCTGATGTGGTGACCATAATGGAAGGCAAGGTAAGAGGACAGCGGGATTCAAAACTGGGACAGAGCGGGGGTTTCAGTGTGGTGCTGCACAGCCCCTCATCCTAAGGCCCGACAGCGGGAAGTCTAGGGAGAGGGTCATGTGGCCCCACCCAATCTCAGAGAACTCAGAGCCCCCATGCCTCCCTACTCATTCTAGACTGCCTCTGGTCACCCCTGTAGTATCAAAGGATGGAAGGGCATCACACTCTGAATCCACAAACAGCGCCTCTGAGGCCACAGGAATGCACAAACCACCCAGGCACCTGGAAGTAGGCGCCGACGTAATGGGTGTTTCTAGGCCCTTGGGGTCCACAGAATCTGGTACCATCTGCCCCAAGACCATTAATTCAGAGAAACAACCCACAAGGAAGTGTACTTCCACTCAGTCAACCTGTCTGTGTGAAGTTTTGAGCCCCCCACTCCCAGTGTGGAATTGCACAGCTTTTATGAAATGAGAGGGAAAAAAGATCTCTTCTTTCACTCTCAAGGTCATTGTGGAATACATAATGGAAACCACTTATTGGAGTTTTAATTTGTTGCCTGTCAGTAGAATTATTGATATCTAATTGGTACTTCTCTGATTGCTTCAGTGATTCCAACTCAATGTCACGGGGACATAGATACTTGACAGAATTTTATTAGGTCAAAATACAAAAATTTATAGACCCTTTCTTTAGCAGTTAAAGGAAGACGGGAGAGCTCTTGAGATCTCATCATAAAGATGTGATTGAGAAATTAGCAATCGTTTTACTTCACTGTAGGCTGAAGGCATGTTTTAACTAAGCGTCAAGAATGCATTTACTATATCCCACTTGCTAGTTAGAAGCCGATATAGTCTCTGGATTTGCCTGAGGAATGGGTAGAAGGAATCCATAAACGTAAATATAAAGGAAATTAGGAAACGTAAAACATAGAGGTTAATTAACTTCACATTTGTGAAGTTGACGCTGAGAATTGATAGGACACATGATCACTGATTTCCTGTATGCAACCCCCCCATTTGCTCCTAGCTGGCCTATGGCCCCTTGTGCCTAGGGTGATGTCATACACATAAAGCCTTGTTGTTAAATAAGGGACTGAAGGACAGGTAATTGTGACGGAGTGTGGCTGGGAGCACATGGTCCAGGAGATACTATAACTTTTCTTTTTCTCACTCTTCCTTCTCTGCCTGCCTCTTCCTTCCAAAGACTTTGAACTTGACCTGCACGGTGTTTGGAAATCCTGACCCTGAAGTGGTTTGGTTCAAGAACGACAAAGACATCGAGCTCAGCGAGCACTTCTCGGTGAAGGTGGAGCAGGCCAAGTATGTCAGCCTGACCATCAAGGGCGTGACCTCCGAGGACTCCGGGAAGTACAGCATCAACGTCAAGAACAAGTACGGGGGAGAGAAGATAGACGTCACCGTGAGCGTGTACAAGCATGGTGAAAAGATCCCGGAGGTGACCCCACCCCAGCAAGCCAAGCCGAAGCTCATCCCGGCATCCACCTCAGTGCTGGACCAGTAAAAGAGTATTTCCCCAAAACTGCTTGGGAGGGCTTGGGATTGCGTGTGCTTATTCCAAATGAATGCTTTCATCTGAGTGACATCACATGTGCGCTGACAGTTGATCATACATGTTGCTTTAATTTTTGCATTTTACTTTATATTCATCGAACAGGAAAATCCAGTATTTTTCACAATGCTGAACAACTTATGTTTGTGTGAGGGTAAGCGATGGATACTTGACAGAGTGGGGCGTGCTTACATTTTCACGGGTGTGGGCATATGGGTGTGGCACCAGATGCATGTAGCATGTGGCGGTCTGTGAGAAGCCACCATCCATGCTTCAGTGGTGCTTTTTGTTGACTGCACGTTCTGGCAGCTCTGAAATCCTGTTGGGGAACTTTTGAAGCGTGTGTTACCTGGTTACACTTGTTTTCTCTTGCTTTAGGCTAATAAAACTTTAAAGACACCTTGTTTTGGTTTTCCTATCCCCAATCACGCCTATCACATCTGCTTACCCTCCTGGCTTGTTTAAATATGAATGATTGTGTGCCTCCACAGCTGGTGGCCAGCAGACAGCATGTTCACATCCAGAGAGCCTGGTGAGGTGACTCACGCTCATGGGAGCCCTGACCTGCAAAGCTGGGAAATAGTTACCTGATGCTTCCTGGGGCAGCACCCACAACAGTACCATTCCTACAAAGTATGCGTTTGTGCCAGGTGTAGAAAGGTTACCTGGTGATTATACCTCAGATCTAAAAATCTCTGTAGAGAAAAACAAAATGCATACATGGCTTTATTCTATTTCTAGTGTGCTCATGAGTTAGGAAGGGACTTTAAATGAAAGAAGCCACTCATCTGAAATGATCCCTGTAGTAGCCATAGAGGAAAAATAAAGACTTGGCTGACTGTAGAAAGCCTCTAGGTGAAGGTAAAACTGTTTAGGATGAATGTAGCCTTTCTTTGAACTTTTTCTTTGTTTGGAAAGAGGCTGAAATTTCTCTGGCATAAAAATCCCATTTCAATATTTTAGTTTTATAGTTGCCTTATAACAGGAAAAAGCTTTGATAATTAAGACTCTTTTATGTCTCTCTGTCATTAAGGCCAATACAAATTTTACGATATTTTGTTCTATTTTTCTAAGGTAATAATACGAATCCTGAAAATTAAATATGTCTCCAATAACCCAAAGCCAGCCGAGCAGGTTTCCATAGCAGTAAAGTGAATATCAGCAAGACTTTCCTTTTTATTATTCTCCCCTTCTCTCTTGTACAGGTGAACTTTAGATGAGTTTTTTATTATTGCTAGTAGAACAGTATTTCCAGAAACATCTTTGGCAAGGGTAGGCAAGACAGACTTTTCTATATTTGACCTTTATTTAGTTAAACAGAATTAGTCTTTTTTTTCTAGTTTAAACAGTCATTTTTGTTTAGCAATTGTGGTTGACAGGAAATAATGACAATGATTGTGAATTTATTAAAGCCATATAATGTTTTGTTAATGAACTTTATCTTTTATAGTAGTCTTTGGTTCACAGTAAAATTCAAGGGTGGCTACAGGATCTCCCACATACCCTCCTCCCCCACACATACAATGTCTCCCCTACCATCAACACCCCTCCCCACGGGGCACGTGTGTGACAATACGTGGACCTCCATTGACCCATCATTGTCATCTAGAGTTCAAGGTCCACACGAGGTTCTTGTGTGGTGTTACACATTCTGTGTGTTTGGAGGGTTCTGTAATGACATGTGTCCACCTTGAGAATATCACACCAAGTAGAGAAACTGCCCTAAAAATCCTCCCCTTGACTCTTGGCCATCACTAATCACTACTGTTTCCATAGTTTTGACTTATAGTATTTTTTAAAACAAATTTTAAGCATGTTTGAATAGTCTTAGATATGCAGAGAAGTTGTGAAGGCAGTGCAGAATACTCCCATGTGCCCCTCATGCGACTGCCCTCACTGCTCACATCTCATAGTTCTGTAGCATGACACTACCACCTCTGGTTGACATTTGGGTCTTACGAGTTTGCCCTCTTTTGGCCCCAGGACCCCACACAGGACACCACACTGCATCAGTGTCAGTTCCCCTAGACCCTTCTGGTCTGGCCGTTTCTGTCTTCCCTTGTCCTTCATCATTAATGGCTTTGGGGAGCACTGCCCAATATTCTTTAGGGTGTGCTTCAACCTGGGCTTGTCTGATGGTCTTCTCGTGACTAGACTGGGGGCTATGTGCTTTCAAGAAGAAGGTCACATGACTTCAGGGCACCTGATACCCTGCTAGCTCTCATCATTTGCCAAGGCAGTGTCTGATCTCTTTGCTAAGAGGTTCCTATTATTCTTTTCCTTGGGCATGAGTCAAAGTCCACTCTACCCTCAAAGGAAAGAGTATGTGGAATTAAGCTCACCTCTTGGAGCAGGGAGCATCTACATATATTATTTATAATTTTTCTGCAAGAAAGATTTGTCTTTTCTCTCCCATTTAATTATATATCCCATTATTTATTCACATCCAGATGGAGTCATGTGTTCTGTTTTATACTTTGGGTTAGGGCCCAGTGCTTTGCTATGTATCTGGTTGCTTGGAGTTTTCCAGCACTGACCCCGGGAACCCTTCAGCCTAGCTCCCAGGCCTCTTGGTAGTTGCTTTGTTGAGCACATCCTGCGTTTTTGGCACTGCAAGACACTCAGACTCAGCTTGTAAGCTCCCTGTCCCTGTCCAACAACCAGCCATTTCTCCAAGGACCCGTGGTTTCTGTTATTGACCAACGGGATTAGAAGCTAAGACCTGGGTGGTGGGTGCTATTTAATTTTTTTTTAATCACACACCTTCACCCAGTTGCATTGATGCAAATCGTATCTCATTATACAGGTAATGCCTGTCTGATAATCAGTGGCTCCCAGAATATGGAGAACTAAGTACCTGGGAAAGACATCTGGTCATCCACTAGCTGACTCTGGGAATACTGGTCTTCCCTCTCTCAGAAGATGTATTCTTCTCCTCTGTTACTTTTTAGAATCGCTCGCAGGGCAGCAAAAAAGAACCAAGACTTAGCACCAGGGTGGGAGGTGGTCAGAAGTTACTTTTTGGACTGGAGGAGGACACTTCTCCTCCAAGGACTTTCCTTCCTCCATCGGCATGGCAAGTTTCACTGAATAGCTGTGCGGATGATACAATATAAGGGAAAATAAAACACCTGGGAGAGAACTTGCTGAGGTCTTGATTCTGTCAAAACAATATAATTAATTTTTTTCCAGAGTCATTTGAAAAGACATCTTGCAAATGACACACATCTTGCTTCTTTGTCCCTTAATACTCTTCTTTGTGTTTCTCAAGAACAAGGAAGAAGGCATCTCCTTATGTCACCATAGCATAGCTGTCAAATTCAAGGAGTTGGGCTTCCCCCAATGCTTTCATCTATGATCCAGTTCCAATCTTGCCATATATCCCAGTCATGTCCTTAGAGAGTTTCCCCACTGGAGTCTAGGATGCAATCAACTCGTGTTCAGATGTTACATCTTTACTTTTCTGAAAGACCCTGCTTTGTTGTTAACTACATGGAAATTTTTGGGGGAACATAGACAAATTATTTCCAGAGTATTTACTCTTTTGGGTCTGCTGATGCTTCCTCCTGCCGCTGTTGCTGTCAAAACTCTGTGTCCCTGGTTGTATCACCATAATCATGGTGTGGACCCTCCTTAGTGGCTTGTCCAGAGGCACACAGTCACTGCACTGGGGTAAGGTTTCTCCACTGGATGGTCAGTGATCAGGGTTCTCTCCATGCAGCACCATTGACTCTCAGCTTTACCTCTCAGCCCATGAACAACCTGTGGGAGACATTTTAAGGCCATGTGGACACCCAGCTTCTCATCTCCTTTCCATCCAGATTTAGCATTCATTGATCATCCTCCTCTGAACCAGCCTGTCCTGAGATGGCTCTCAAGGACGATGTTACCAGCAGGAGCATATCCTCCATGATTCCCGGCCAGCTGTCTGCACCAGGGAAGAGTCCTCCCTCTCGCTGATATGTTTGTTACTGTGTCCACATATGTGTGTCTATCATCTTCCATGTGGATTTACAGATTCCTATTTTATTCAGCGGATGGGAAGCTTTTATTGTACTTGTTTGTTTTCTTATGCTCATGTGTGCTGCGTTCAGTGCTGGGCCTCAGTGTGTGAACTCTCCTTTCTGGGGTGAGTTTGTGTAGGCATCACCTGAGCTTTCTATCTTCTCTTCTTTTCCACAACCGCTTCCACCTCCTCTCTCATACTTTTGGCGTCCATAGCCTTGTAGGAGCAGGGGAAGTGATGCTGGAATTTGGAGTTTTATTTTCTCCTGGTAGCTTGAAATTTGTTTTTGCCTCTGTGCCCAAATAATCGCATATCAAGGTTCCTATGTGGTTCCATGTCTACTCCTGGTTGCCCTATGAACAGCTCACAGTGGAACACAACTTCCTCTGTTGTGCCCCCGAAGAGAATGATGGCATTGCATGGAGAATTAGGCCCTGAGTGACTAGAGGCCACGTGGGTCCCAGCACAGTGCCCGACAAACCTGACAAGTCACTTGGCCTCTGTAAATCTTGCTTTCTTTCAGTTATGATGATGGGGGAAGGGCTGCTCCTTATGGGGAATATGTTATGTATTCTGACAGTCCAGTTACAGAGGAATGAGTTTGGGATTCATACAATTATGAGATGTGGTGGTTGGGGGAGGAAGCAGGACTTTAAAAATAAACCAGATATCTGTTAAAAAATGTCTGTCAGTTCAACAGCTCCTGTGACCGTCTCATGAGAATAGCTGGATAAAAATGGTGATAGGCGAACTGTCAAAGTTCTCATCATTTGAGATTCCGAGTCCAAGAGAGAAAGGGCTGGGCACGTGGGAGTGTGAAGACCTGAAATGTGCTCCAGCATTGATAAAATGGATGTGTCATGTGCCATCAAACCAATAATGTTAAGAGTCATCGGTTCCCCAGACTTAGGCAGGACCTAATGACAGCGTAACAGGCAAACATTTT